TATGGGTTGGGGCACCTGGGTGGCTCAGTCGTTAAGCATCTGCCTTCGGCTCAGGTCATGATCCCAGGACCCTGGGATCGAGCCTCACATCGGGCTCCCTGCTCCGCGGGAAGCCTGCTTCTCCCTCTCCCACTCCCCCTGCTTGTGTTCCCTCTTTCGCTGTCTCTCTCTCTGTCAAATAAATGAATAAAATCTTAAAAAAAAAAAAAAAAAGAAAATATAGGTTAATTAACTTTATGTTATCAGTAAAGCTTCTGGTCAACCGTAGGCTGTTAAGTAGTTAAGTTTTTAGGGTGTCAAAAGTTATATGTGAATTTTCAACTGCTGGGGAGGCGAAGGGGTTGGTGTCCCTAAACCCCTGTATTGTTCAAGAGTCAGCTGGAATTGGAAGAGGTTCAAAGACATTAGGTGTAAATTAGATAATGAGGAATTTGATTCTCTTTTCAATTCTCTCTCAATCCTCAAGTCCTTCTCAAGTTATTTTCTTAAGTCTTGATCCCCAAAGATCTGCAGTCCATGGGCTTCCTCCTGGGCTCTGTCCTTCAACTCGCTCTACCTACTTCATCAGAGACCACTCCTCTCACTCCTTTGCCTTCTGAACATGTATTGAAACCCCACCTGACATTTCATTTACTCATTCAACAAATACTGAGTTCCTACTATGTGCCAGACCCTGCTGCAGGCACGTGGGATACATCAGTGAACAAAAGAGCATTCATTCTATTGTGGAGAAGCAATGGAGGAAAAAACATAATGAAGAAGTAAAAAATCTACAGTATGTAATGGGGGGTAAATCCCACCCCAAGGAAGGAAACTGAAAAGCTTGTTTGCTAGGGCAAGTGGGATTAGGAATGCAGAGCCATTAGGGGGGCCCTCACTGAGAGGTGAGATTCATAGAAAGACAAAGGAAGTGAGAGATTTTGTCTTACTGACAGCTGGGGAGGAGCATATCATCCAGAGAGGATAGCCAGCACAATGGCCCTAGACGGGAATTGATCCCTTCCATTCTATACATTGTGGGTTTGTGCTTTTTAAGATTATTTTATTCTCATTTTAATAAGGTGAAATGTCCTGGACCTGGAGGTACTGGAGATAAACAAAAGAATTCAATCTGTCACCTTGAACCTGAAGTCTTATTTTTAGGTCTTTGAAAGCAAGAGATGAGCAAGTGGTATCTTTGCTTTTCTCCTTTCTTCTGAGAGCCTACAAGCATTTTGTACATATTTTTTCCTTTTGAATTTTACAGATCCCCTCTGAAGTAGGGAACTTTTAAGAAAATACGTCCTTCATAAATGAAGAGAATTGAGAACTAAAAATAATATGATTCACCTAAGGGGTAAATGATAGAATGACAAAAAGCATATCTTGTACTCCCCAACTTTGTTTCCTTTTCTAGCCAATGTTGTTTGTCTCTGCATCTCGTTCTATCACTATTACAATTTGAAACATAAAAAAAGGGGCACCTTGGTGGCTCAGTCAGTTAAGCATCTGCCTTCAGCTCAGGTCATGATCCCAGCATCCTGGGATGGAGCCCCAGATCTGGCTCCCTGCTCAGTGGGGAGCCTGCTTCTCCCTCTCTAGCTCACCCCCCTGCTTGTGTTCCCTCTCTCACAGTCTCTCTCTGTCAAATAAATGAATAAAATCTTTTAAAAAAAGAGAAAGATATTGAAGGAGAAAAGCATTTTTATTTTTCTTATTGATTTTTTTCAAAAAATGTGCATTTTATTCAGCAAATATTTATTGAGCATCTACTATGTGTGAGGCCACGATCCAGGTATCAGGGATATAGTGCTGAAAATGATAGACATGTGTCTATTCTCATATATTAGAATTTTCATGAAGGCTGGTGATAGATGTGATAGACAATAAACAGATTAATTAATAAAACCATAAAAGAGCCTTATAGGCCTTGATAAATAGTCTGACTTTTATTTTAAGTGGGTCAGAAGACTTTGGAGATGTATTAATTAGAATTAGTATTTGCTACATGTAACAAGGACCCAGCTAGAGTGGCTTTAATTTATTTACTGTTATATTTATTTCTCTCTCATGTAAAATGTTTTGTCTCATCATTGGGACTAATATGAAGGCTTCATGATCATCAGAAACTCTTGGTCCAAAAATGGCTGCTGGAGCTCCAACCATCATGTTTACATTTAACACTAGAAGAAGAAGAGAAACCAAAAAAAAAAAAAGAAAGAAAGAAAGAAAAAGAAAGGGATACTCCTTCCCTTTTAAGGAATTTTCTAGAAGTCCTACACAAAACTTAGTCACATGGCTATATCCAGTTGCAAGGGAGGCTGGAAAATGTAACTGCCCTCAGTAAAATTGAGTTTTATTACTAAGAAGAAAAAGGACAATAGAGTTGAGATAAGAAACCAACAATTTCTGCCACGGAAATCTGAGTCATGTTTTTAAAAACATATTCTGTCTTCTCTGTAGAGAACAGATTATGGGAATTGGACTAGAAGGGAGATCAGTTTTTCACATTTGTCTAGATAAAATTTGGTGGTGGACTAGGGTGGCACTATAGTAAAGATGGACAGAAGAAGATGGATTCAGGTATGTTTTGAGGTAAAGTCAATGGGACTTCCTGATGGGCTGAATGGGATGAGGGAAAGAAAAGAATCCAGAACATTGCCTAGGTTTTTTGCCTTGAGAAAATGGATATATGGCTCTGATGCTTAGTAATATCAGAGTATAGGTTTATGGAAGAGAGATTCAAGAATTCTGCTTGGATCATGTTAATTTTTAAATGCCTGTTAGGCATTCAAACAACAGTTGCCAAGAAGGCATTTGGATATATGAATCTATAGTTAAGGGTAGATGTCAGGCTCAGAGATTAAACAATTGGCAGTCATTGGCATGTGACTGGAATTCATAGTCATGGGCAGATGAAATTACCTAGGAAAAATGTGCATAGAGAAGGGAGCCCAGGACCAAACGGAAGCTCACCAACATTGGGAATGTTGGTAGAGGAGTAGGAGCAAAGCAAAGTGGGCAGGGGGCCAATGAGGAAAGCAACCAAGAGCATGGTTGGTAGAAAACCTGGTGAAAAGAGGGAGTGGTCGATTGTATTTAATGCTTGCTGAGAGGTGTAAGATATGGACAAACGTGAGCTTTGGATTTGGCAACATGGTAGCCACTGGTAACCTTTACAAGAACAGATTTAGAAGAGTAGAAGGAAAAAGGCATAAATCAATTTATTCAGCATCCAGTCACTAGAAATACATTAGCTGGCAGTCTAGGGGGAGAGGTGGGCAAATTATTCCTCACACAGTGTAACACTAAGGACCAGGATGGAGGTCTGCACAGGGCACAGATGAGTCGGGGCACTAAATCTATGGGGACAAGGGCACAGAAGACTTTCAAAAAAAGGTGATAACTAGGTGCCTAAACTGCATTTTTAGAAATTAAAAGATCTGTGGAGTAATGCATTGGCCTTGGAGCTGGGAGACCTAGGTTCTAGTCCTACCTCTATCCCTAACAGATGATCTGAGACAAGTCCCTTCCCCTGTCGAGGGTTCTTCCTTCCTTCTGCATGGGGAAATGGCTAGATCCGACCATCCTCATTTGTTTCTGGAATTTTCTAACCTATTGGAATCTGGATAGACTGAAGGTTTTAAGTTCAAGTTTCTCTGCCCTTTAGTTAGCCTTTGGGGTATATATTTAAATGTCTATATTTCTCCACTAGAAACAGATCTTTTATTCGTAGTTTTAGTTGCTGCAGTGTAAATTAGTGAGGAAAATGTTATCCTCTATAACCAACCCCAACGTTTCAGTGGCTTAACACTGTAGGAGCCACTGCAAGTCACTCCAAGATGGGCCATTTTGCATGAACATTATTTTGAATTAAAAGCAATCCAAATCCATCAGATTCGGAAAAAGCTCTTCCCTGCCCCTCAACTGCCTGCTATTAAACAGAGATTCCTCTTTACCTAAGAAACTTCTCTGCATAATAAGGCAACCTTTGTTTTCCAAACATCTCCTCTCACCTTCCTGCTAATGGTCTTTCTTCCCTTTGTATCCTCAGATCCCCTCCCCTTCTCCTTAGCTCTTCTAAGCTCCATGTTTCCTCACTGTCTTTGGAATTTCCATGTCTGCGCGGATTCCCCTTATTGACATGTATTAAATTTGATTTTCCCCTGTTAATCTGTCTCATGTCAATTTGATTCTTAATTCAGCTATAAGGACCTCTGAACGGCAGGGGAAATTCTTCCTCCCCAATGGAGGAAGAATTGGGGACAAACAGAATAATTTTTTTTCCTGCCCATGTAATGATCCAGTGAAAGTTCTGACAAATGGTCTTGAACACAGTAAGTCAGGGACACAGGCTCCTTCCATTCTGTCCTTTTGCCATCCCTTAGATTCTCCCAATGATTTGCTCTCTAGCGGAAGGGAAGTGTGGAAAAGATACCAAACCATCTCAGCTCAGAGGTGCCATATATTACTTCTGATAGAATTCCATTTTAAACGAATCACGTGGGTTCACCTGAGACGCAGTGGAGACTGGGAAATGGAGAGTCTGGCTGGGCAGCAGGCACTGTGTCGGGAAAGGGGGAACAAGAGTCTTTGGTGGACACCAAACATCTCTGCCACATGGAACATTTCGTGACTCATACAACTCTTTTGTTTGTTTATTTTCTAGCTGAAGAAGAGACCACCTTTTCCAAAATAGAGATTCATAAGAAATCTGAGATATTTCCTGAAAATCTCAGGTACAGGCGTACATGACTGTTTAGGCATAAACAACTGTCATTAAGCTCAGAATACTGTTAAAATCTTCTGTCAGGTCAGTTCTTTTCGGCCTCTTTGGTACAAGTGGGGAAATGTTGGGGTGTGTGCATGGTGAGTTCTGTCAGTAGCATCTACATCAGGTTTGATTATCTTGCTCTTTTATTAGTTTTTTAAAGATATTTTCATATCGAAAACTAAGTGTAGCTACAAGTTATTCCTCCTCTTTATTTCTGCATTTGGACAGTCCTGAAGAAATAAGAGAAAAGATCTTGAGTTTCTTTGATGTCGTTATAACAAAAATGAGGACGTCTGAGGAAGACATCATTCCTCTGGAATCTTGCCAGTGTGAGGAGATCGTAGAGATGGTCATCATGCCTCTGGCCCACCATTTTCTGGCTTTGGGAGAAAACAACAAAGCCTTATATTACTTCCTAGAAATTACATCTGCTTATCTCATCTTGGGTGATAATTATATGGTAAGGTGTTTCTACCCCGCCCCCCCACCCACCCTTGAGACAAGTTAGAGACCACAGTGCCCGAAGGGAAGCTCTAGGGTGCTTTTTTTATTACTTCATGTTCTTGATTCCTGCCAGCACCACTTTCCTCTGAAAATCAAATTGCTGAGAAGGGAAATGACCCGAGATTGAGAAATGAAAGTTAGAACAAATTGAAACTAGCATTATGCATCATTTAAAATAGTGCCACTTTTAGAAACTTGCCATGAACTGTCTGCCTATATGGGAAGGGGGTGGATGTCCTATCTCATTCCCAAAATGATGCAGAAAGGACTCTTGGTATCAATGCTTCTGTTTCAGCAGAGTCTTCCTCAGTAATGTCCTTGTGGCATTTGCCTTCTGTCCTCCCTAAATACCTGTGAGCACAAATACCTGTAGGTCTTTGGATAAGTACAAATCTGGCTTTCATCTTGTGATTCCCCAAAAGGAGCTCACCCACTTTGGTCTTCATGTAATTTGTGCTAAATTATCATACACTTCCTTTAGGCCACCAAAACACTAGTGTTTCTCCGGGATAATTGTAAATAACATTCCAGGGCATATGCCCCTAGAAATGTGGGGATTCGATGTATGTATAATGAAATAAAAAGGATTAATTCTTAAGTAAGTTGGGAAGCACTGAGCTGAATAAAGCTAAATAGGTTTCTTTACTGCAAATATTTCATGGCCTTAATATGCTAAGATACAGGTAAATCTTCCAGAGGGTCGGGCTAGTTCTGGGGCATACTGTGTTTCTCAAACTTACTTGACCTTAGACCACTTTCATAGAGCAGCTGACTAGACTAACATTGCTTGAGCTCACTTTAGGAAATGCTCCTCTGGCCCCTGCTTCATCTGACTCACATTTCTGAATAGGCATGCCTATACTTCATGCCCATCCTGGTGGTCTCTTCCATATTTACAACTGCTTTTGATCACAGCAGCCTAATCAACCTTCATACCTTAGATTTTTATAAAATTTAAAAATTAAATCATTAAAAATGTTGGTAAGCCCCAGTTCTCTCAGTATTTATGTGAAAGATGAAAGTCGCCCATGTATATTATATATATGAATATATATGTGTGTATATATGTATACACACACACACACACATATGGAAAAGGGGGATATGATCAGTGAGTCCCAAGAAGAGAAAGTTTAAGTAGCCTTGGGGACCAACTTGCTAAGCACCCCCATCTCAATTAGCAGGGAATGGGGGATGGTCAGGAAAGACAATGATTGGAAGCAGAGCCCTGGTGCAAGTTACCCAGAATGTGCCATTTGCATCCTCTGTCCCACCAAAAATAATTTAGTAGGTCCAGGTCAACTCATGTCTCCCTCTTCTGCCTCCCACTCATATCCCTTTGGCTGAATGAAATTTGAGGATATCGCCTTGCCTTATTTTACTCTTCAAGTCTGTCCTGTCTAACGATGTCCATAACTCATTCCAAAAATCAAGACCAGCTTCTCATAGATGTGGGGATACTGTCAGGGGCAGTGGGTACATTGTTGGAAATAGGGGCCATCGGGGGTGGAATTACTCAGAGGAAGAAATTGCCCTGGATCCATCCTCTCGAGCGAGTGATCCAGTGGACAAAGATGGGCCTGCAGGTGGCCAGGATCTTCACCAGGAACTTGACCTACCCAGTGCTGCCTAGAGTTTGGAGGCCCTTACTAATCCAGAGCCAGAGACGGGGGTGGAAGTGGGTCCTGCGGTAGCAGGTGCTTCTCCCTGCTCGGTAGAGGCCGGACCCCCGCTGACTCAACACAATGTGCCCCTCTGCTGGCTGCAGGCATACATATATTTGAACGAGGGAGAGAGGTTGCTGAAAATGCTCAAGGACGACAAATCCTGGAGTCATACTTTTGAGTCTGCTACCTTTTACAGCCTCAAAGGTCAGGTAAGAAACCATTAAAAACATGACCATGTGTTACCGGTCACTGGGGCATTATATAGAAGAAGCAGAAGCCATCCCTGTCCTTCCTGCACCCCCTCCCATCCTCTGCCACAAATCCTTGCCAAGACCACAGAACATCAAGCCCCGCTACTCAAACCTCCTTGCCCTCACTTACCAGCAGCAAGATCTTCCTTGTCCTCGTGGCTGACGTCATTATGAAAGGTTTTTTAACAACCTCCAAACATGGACCTGCTTGGGGAAACATTTTCTCAGGTAGATGATGCACAATAAAGATTCGACGCAAAATCCTCATCAGTCAGCCAGCATTCATCTGCAAACATTTACTGTTATGCCAGGCCCATGGGGATTTTGTTCCTGGGGCTTAAGTTACCCTTTTGATAAGAATCCCAGGAATATGTGTTGTTGGAACACACCGATTAAGTCCAGAATCACTGCATTTCCTCTCTCCTTTCTCCTCCTCCTTTCTCCCTGTAGGTCTGTTTCAACATGGGCCAGATGGTGCTTGCCAAGAAAATGCTGCGGAAAGCACTGAAGCTGCTCAACAGAATCTTTCCTTACAACTTAATCTCCCTGTTTCTTCACACCCACGTTGAGAAAAACAGACACTTTTACTATGTGAATCAACAGGCCCAAGAGAGCTCACCTCCAGGGTAAGGGAAGGAGCTGGGAAGAGCTGGAGGTCTCACTCCTGAGAGAGAGAGACCTACACAGACTCCATCAGCCCCCAAAGCCTGGGCCTCTAGGGGGCGCAAGAAGGCCTGGTGGCTCTGCCCTGAGGCTCACTGGTGCTGGAGGGGGCTGGAGGTGGCTAGAGGGGGCTGGTGGGGAAGGCTCCCAGGCGAGGTGAGGGTTGCCCAAGAACACCTCATAGCAGCTTTTGCAAAAGGTGAGTTCAGGTGACAAAAACATCAGGGAGCCCTTTGCAAGCTGAGCTCCAGTGCCCTGCCCTAGTCCGCCCCTTCAATCCCTGTGACCCGCCATGTTCCACTGGAAGCTAGCTGTACCAGTGCTCCTGGGGCCTCAGTCACAAGCCCTTTTCCATCCAGGGCTACAACGCTGGGTATCGTCCCTGGCTCAAACCGAAATACAAGGTTCCAAAGACCTCTGCCAGAGGGCAGACTGCCCACCCATCTATGTACCTGGATGGGAATGTGCGTTACATGGGAGTATCCATCAGTCATGATTAAACCACTAAGATTTATACATCTCAACGTATGTAAATTTTGCCTATAAAAAAACTATAAAAAATACTGGGAGGGGGACCACCTGTGTGGCTCAGTTGGTTAAGCATCGGACTCTTGATCTCAGCTCAGGCCTTGATCTCAGTGTTGTGAGTTCAAGCCCTGCATTGGTAGTTGTTGAAGCTGGGTGTTCAATGCATGTAGTTCATGATATTTTTCTGCTTTACTGTGTGTATGTTTGAAATTTTCCACAATAAAACTTTCTGGATATATTCCCCCTATCCAATCGGCGCCAAGGGAAATGCCACCTAGCTGGGGATCTAGAGAGCTGACAGAGGACATCTCTCCCATGCTGGCAGAGGCCAGTAGTGGTTTCGCTACAGGTTCTGCCTGAGATGCAAACAGCTATTTCTAGGAGCCAGTTGCTACAGCTCTTTCCCCAAGCCCACTGCCTTCCCCCAAAAGTGTTCCCTTAAATGTGGGGGAGCCTGGGGTGGGAAGGAGCTGGAGCTGAGCTCCTTTGCAGGTTAGGGGCAGACTCCTGGGAATGGTGCCTGTGGTCTCAGGAGACACCAAGAGGGAGGGGCAGGGAGAGGTCAGCAGAGATCTCTCTGAGAGGTAGGAGGGAATCAGAGTTTGGGTCATGTGTAGAGTTGCCGGATCAAATACAGCATGCCTAGTTCACTTTGAAGTTCAGATGAACAATGAATCATTTTTTTACTCTTTTTTTTTTTTTTTTTAAAGAGAGAGAGTGCGTGTGAATGGGGAGGGGCAGAGGGAGAAAGAGAAAGAGAATCTTAAGCAGGCTCCAGGCTCTCAGCACAGGGCCCAGCCCAACGTGGGGCCTGATCCCGCCACCCCGAGATCACTACCTGAATCGAAATCAAGAGTCGGACACTCCACTGACTGAGCCACCCAGATGCCCCGAGTCATTTTTTTAGGATACATATATGTCACACAAATATTTAGGACATGTGCATTCTAAACAAATTATTTATTGTTTTGAAATGCAAATTTAACTGGGCATCCCACGTTTGCATTCCCTAAATCTGGCAAGCCTAGTTAACAGCCACATTTTATGAAAGGAATAAGAAGTTACCTGCATGAGGGTAAAGGGGGGAAGTACTGCTGAGGAAGAAACTGCAGAGCTGTGGGTTTCCAACACCGTCTGGTCAAAGGGTTCTGATCTCAAAAATGAGGACAAGGAACAACTTTAAAGTCAGAGTTTCTACGGCCCTCATGAATGTCTTACTCTGTAAGGGATTTTACGCTGTTTCCTAAGAGGCTTTAAAAAATGATTTCCACAACAGAATCAATGTCATTAATGTCTAAATTGAAAGTACCTGGAATTCTTCTTTAAAAATCTCCAGGATCTCTCTTTTTTTTTTTCTTTTAAAGATTTTATTTATTTGAGAGTGAGAGAGAGAGAGCATGAGCCGGTGGGGAGGGGCAGAGGGAGAGAGAGAAGTAGACTCCCCTGCTGAGCAGGGAGCCTGATATGGGGCTTGATCCCAGGACCCTGAGATCATGACCTGAGCTGAAGGCAGATGCTTAACAGACCGAGCCACCCAGGCACCCCCCAGGATATCTCTTTCTTCCTCCTTTCTCGTCTTTATTTAAAATCAGCTTTTTGATAAATATTTCTAATTATATTTTGTTTTCTTGGTTTTGTTAAATCACTAATATCGCAGCCAATTTGCTTACCATAAAGATAAGGTTCCCATTTTTAAATGGCTTGTTGAAGCCAAGATTGAGAACCCGAACATTCTTTGTAGGTGGTCGTCCTTCTCCCCTTGAATACCTTCAGCACAGGAGGTTCACCATCTCCTGTGACATTCCTTTACATTGTTGGAATGTGTCTTAGTCTGCTCAGGCTGTTTTAACAAAATACCATAGACTGGGTGGCTTATAAATAGCAGAAATTTATTGCTGAAGTCTGAGATCAGAGTCCTAGCATGGTCGGGGAGGGTCGGGGAGGTCTGTGACCTCTTCAGGGTCACAGACTTTTTTTTATCTTCATATGGTGGGAAGGGGCTGGAGAGCTCTGGGGTCTCTTTTATATCTCTTATAAAATCCCTTACAGCCTTACCCCCATTTATGAGGGCTCTACCCTCACGACCTAATTACCTCCCAAAGCGCCCATCTATTGTTACCATTAATTTCGGGGGTTAGGATTCAACATGTGAATTTGGTGGGGATGCATTCAGATCACAGCAGAACGTAATTGTTAAAATGTTCATTTCTTTTGTTGATCTGAGGCCTAGCTCCTGATAGCCTGCTCAGTGGAGAACATGACACATAGGAACGGCTGGGCTGGAAGCGGACAGAGCCTGAGCCCTGGCCCCACCACATTCTAGCTGTGTGACTTCGGGTTAGTCACTTAACCTCAGTCTCACCTGCTTGCATAAAATGGGGTTCATTATTTCTTCCTTTCTTCCAGGCTTGTTATCAGAATCAAATGTGATGAATTAAATAAATGGGCTTTTAAAAATAACTTCATTTAAATAGCGATGAGCTGGGGCACCTGGGTGGCTCAGTTGGTTAAGCGACGGCTTTCGGCTCAGGTCATGATCCTGGAGTCCCGCATCGGGCTCCCCGCTCAGCGAGGAGCCTGCTTCTCCCTCTAACCCTCCCCCCTCTCATGTACTCTCTCTCTCTCTCATTCTTGCTCTCTCAAATAAATAAATAAATAGCGATGACCTGACAGGGGACAAGTGATTTGCATAAATTATCTTAATTAATCATCACAAAGTAGGTATTACGCTCCCCATTGGGTGGGGGAGAAAATGTGCTTCATAAAAATTAATGTGCCTGCACTTTACCATCTTGTAAAGGAGGCAGGACTCAGGCTCACACCTGCTTTGACCTCCCAGCCGGGAGCGAGGCTTCTGTACCTGCGTTCCTCTCTAGCCCGTGTGTATTTTCTCTAATAGGAAGAGGAGGCTGGCGCAACTCTACAGGCAAATCGCGTGCTTCTCCTTGCTGTGGCAGATCTATAGCTTAAATTATTTTTTCCACTACAAGTATTATGGCCACCTAGCAGCTATGATGCAAGTGAATACGGCCCTGGAAACTCAAGATGATTTTCAGGTAGGCTGTTGTTGTAGCTGCTTTTAAATTTCTGCATCTCATTTAGAGGGAAACTCCTACTGGGAGCCAACAGGGATGCAGAATCGCGAGGGTAGAACAAAGCCCTTCTGGGCTGGGTTGTTTTGCCAAGGCCAGCATCCCAAACACTTTGGTCCCAGAATCACTTTAGACTCAGTAATTCCTGAGGACCTCAAAGCTTTTTGTTTTTATGGGTTGAATCTACCGAAATTATAAGAAACAAAAACTGAGGTATTTAAAAGAAAAATAAAGCTCTTACATGTTAACGTAATTAACATTTTAACTGGAAGAACAAAAGACCAATTCCCCCAGACAAAAAATTGAGCGAGAAGAGTGGCACGTATTAAATTTCTGCAAATATCTTAATGTCCGACTTCATAGAAGATAGGTGGATTTTCGGTCTGTTTCTAATTTCACTCGGTTGCAACATGGGATGTTGCCCCTGGAAAACTGCGCTATATACCAGTAGAGAATGAGGGTAAAAAAGGAAAATGTTAAAGGATAATTTTTTTAAAAAAAGATAAAATCATGACTCATAGAAATACAAAAAGAACCCATGTCAAAGATCCTATTAAACACATTAATTACTGAGAAATTAGTGAGATGTTACAACTGGTTCCAAGGAGAACTCAATTTATGACTGGACGCAAAACTAGTCTAGTCATGGGGGCAATAATCACATGGATTCCCCTGAACACTTACATTTCTATGCAAGAGGCTAATTTACATTATCAGTTTTCTGCCTCATACAGAGCTATAAAATGGCCCAAAGACAATGAAAGGCAGAGATAACCTTAATGAGTGAACTAGACAGGACAATCCACCGAGTTTTTTTGTTTGTTTTGATCTTGCACCATTTTTCCTCACACAAATAATGCCTTGATATCCTGAAAGCAGCTTTGACTTCTTTGTGCACTCCCTGAGATGGTCTCAGGACCCACTGGCAGAACTGCGTGTCTAAATTTTTGGGGAGGAAGATTTTTTCTTCTGCCCTTTAGGGTCCTTCTAACTGGACTAAGAATCAAGTTGATATGAGACAGATTAATAGGAGAAAATCAAATTTAATAGCGTATGTATGGGGAATCCATGGAGACATGAAATTCCAAAGACAATGAGGCAACATGAGGCTTGTTTGAGCTAGGGAGAGGGGTAGGGGCCTGAGGGCATGAAGGGGAGGAAGACTGTTAACAGGAAGGTGAGGAGATGTTTGGAAAACAAAGGTGTTGCCCTATTATGCAGAGAAATTCCTTAGGTAAAGAGGAATCTCTGTTAATACCTCTCTTCCTAGTAAAGCAGGCAGTTGAGAGACAAAGAGCTCTTCCTTGAAACTAATATAACATGAATGTTAATTTTATTTCGGCTTAAAAAAATAAAACAAATTTGTTTAGCCTTAAAAAAAAAAAAAAAAAAAAGCTTTTCCTGAATCTGCTGGGTTTTGATTGCCTTTGACTCAAAATAATGTTCATGCCAAAGTGGCCCATTTTGGGGCAGCCTGCCCTTGGCCCCTACAAAGTCATAAGCTGGGAAAACTTTGGTTAGATGTGGAAAACTCCAGAAGACAAAATAAGGAATTATTAAGCTAAATCCAGTTCATCTAATGAATGATCTGGTTCCTTTATAAAAAAGCACATCAAGTCTAGATTTCTTCTGGGGCAGTAGCTTCCTCTTGGAGTGATTAATGATCAGGAATTAAGGGAAATGGTCAAGTAGCACTGTAAATGCTGGAGGGGCTTAAATTCCTAGCCAGGAGTCTGTCCCCAGCATTAGTGCCTTCCAATAGCCCAGGATACAGAAATATTTACAAAGCCCATCAAATATAGCCCTCTGCCCATCCTCCTGTAGCTCCCTGGGCCACTAAACCCAGCCATATTAGACCTCTTTCGGTTCCTCAAACATTAAGTTCAGTCCCTTTGTAGGGTCTTTGCAGTGGACATTTCCTCTGCCTGGAGTGCTCATCCCCTGACCTTTACTGGGCTCTGTGCTCATTAGCTTGAAGGTCACCTCCTTCATAGGCCTTTCTGGACCACCTCGCCCACTGACTCTTTAACCTGTCCCTCTCTTGTAGTAGCTCTTATTACCATCTGACGTTTCCTTGTTTGCTCCTTTGTTAGTGTGTAGCCTGCATCCGCTACTAGCCTGTAAAGTCCATAAGAGCAGGGATCTTGTCTGTTACCGTTCTCACATCCTGAGCTTCAGTAACAGTGTCTGGGACATAGTGGGCACTCAGCAAATATTTAGTGAATGAAATCCTTTAATTCCCCTCCCTATTTGGGGTCTATCTCTTAAAAACATGGTGGCATTGGGGGACAGGAGACTAGAATGGAGAAGCCAAAATTGGAAAGTGAATCGAAAGAGGCTGGTTAACAATATGGTCATGACCAAAGGCAGAGCAGCCTGGCAAGAGCTCCCCTGGGTGCTCAAAAGCAGATGACACACTCATTGTTGAATAACAGAAAGAACCAGAATGAGCCCCAAGAGAGTAGTTTCCGGAACTTCACCCATCTGTGGCGTGACCACTGGCAAGCCCCATAACCTCCGAGCTTCATATTTTCTGCATAAAGTAAAGCAGTTGGACTCTGTGCTCTTGATCCAAATCCAAGAAGTCCTGGGCTCTGTTACAGCGTCGGACATTTCATTCGCCTGGCAGTCCTCTCCTGGTCCACAATTTCCAGCTGCCCTCCCCTTCTGGTAGCACCATCTGAAACACAACTCAGGTCAGGAATACAGGAAGCCCCTCAGATTGACTTTGTGGCTTAACAAATGCCCACAGAACTGTCTGTTAACACAGAATCTGTAGCCTGCTTATTTTGTGTGAGTTGAAGAATTCTAGGAAAAAAGTCCCCTTCTCCTAAATGCCTCCCCACTGACTGCGCTCAGTGCGAGACACTTGTATCATTAGGAACCTTCTTTAGCAGGAACTGCTTTCTCTTCACCTGTCCCTAAGCATTTATATTCTGGAGCAACTTGACCATTTGAAAGAGTTGTTTATGGAGTAACCAACTTCTCAGAGGTCTCTCAATTCAGTTTACAACCACGCTTTCCTCTTTTTAAGAGCAAACAAACCAAACCCGCCTTTCTTTTTTGTTAATCAACAGAATAGACATACTTGTTATAAAAATTAAACATCACAGAATTGTATAAAGTAAAAAGTAAAGTCCCTCCTGTCCCTCAGATTCCTCCCCAAGTATGCACCATGGAGTGAATCCTTCCCGGCTTTTTGCTCTGCAATTATATATTCACATATATATAAGCCACCACTTTTATTTTTCACAAAAATTAAAATTCTTATATTTTGCTTAAGGACTCTGTGGGCAAGAGGAGCCATCAAGCATGTCTGGGATGATCCAATAAACAGGTGGCAGAGACCCAGTTTAGTATCTGCACCTAAACCCATGCCTTGGCCAAATGACCAGCTCCGTTCTCAAGCTTAATAAACCCATGTTCACTGGCCAACACTGGGCAATGTCCCCGGGCTTCCTGCCTTGGTTCCACCTTCGTTTTGCCACTTCTCTTCTCCACTGCTGCCATTTCAGATCATCAAGGCCTACCTGGACTATTCACTGCACCACCAGCTGGCCGGCTACCAGGGCGTGTGGTTCAAATATGAAATCATGGCCATGGAACAGATCTTCAACCTCCCCCTGAAAGGCACGGGCATTGAAATCGTGTCATATGTGGCTGATACACTGGGCTATACCAAGCTTTTAATGGGTCACTTGGACTTGGCCATTGACTTAGGTAAGGTTTTTCTGGGCAAGAAGGGGCATGCAGAATACAAGTAACACCCTGAAATATACTGGAATTGTTTTCTTCCCAGGATATCGAGCCCACAGGATGTGGGCTCTGCTCCGGAATCCCAACAGACACTACATGGTCCTCTGCTGGCTTAGTAAATCTCTCTTCTTGAAAAACAGGTATTTAGCTGAAAGCATTTTCCAAAATTAGAGGGAGGAAGCCATAGTAATTGTGTGTTCTGGGCTCGCTTTACTCTGGCCACTGGGTGGCAAAGGAGCAGGATTTACAGTAAGATGTGACTGATAATCATAGTCTTTGGGATACCACTGTTCTTTGCACAGCATTCTCTTTTTTTAAGATTTTATTACTTTTTAAAGTAATCTTCACATCCAACGTGGGGCTTGAACTTACAACCCTGAGGTCAAGAGTCGCACGCTCCACTGACTGAGCCAGCCAGGTGCCCCTGCACAGCATTCTTTCACATACATCATCCCTAGTCTGTTTGCTCTGGCCAGTGACTGGAGGAGAGTCAGTCAATCATCCTGCCGTGGGCATCAGGCTTTCCCTAGAGGGAAAGGGAAGAGTTTCACAGGAGAGGCAAATGCCCAGAGAAGAAGAGCCCCCAGGACCAGAAGCTCCAGCCTCTGGTCGCCGTGATACAGAGGTCTGTGACAACAGTTTGAGCAAAGAGCCAATTTGAGATTTGGGAGTGGGTTTGAAATCTGCGTAAGGGCCATATTTGGTCTGGAATTGTGGGTACCATGGAAACAAGACCAGCACTCAACTCCATCCTCTCCTCCCCAGCACTTCCTAATCTTACTACCTTCCTTTGCCTCAGAAACAAGCAATTGATCCAGGTGTTGGGGTGGCTGTGGGACCTTTCTATAACAGAAGAGCACATCTTCAGCAAGGCATTCTTCTATTTTGTCTGCCTGGACATCATGCTTTATTCTGGTAAATGTGGCTTGGGGATTTACAAGCAATTGGGGGCACGGTATGTGTGTTGGTGTGGTGCGGCAGCTGTTGGGGCTAAGGTCTTGAGACCACTAGGATTCTGGCTGGGAAGACCTCTAGGACAGGGAAGGGGAGAGCATGGTCAGCTGAGGAGCCATCTGGAAGGTGCAAGGATTGTGAAGGACCAGCAAGGAGGAGAGTTTAGTCCAGAGGAACCTGTTGGGTGTAAGCTGCCAGTTTAAGGGTGAGATCAACTTACACACCGGTGTGGGGACTGACAGGCTCTTATATGTGCCTTTTACTAGAGGACTTGTTAGCAGAATATACTTAGAGACCTCATGCTTTAGGACAAAGGGTGGAATTGCTAATGGGTCCAGGCATTGGTTGCTGTTGGAGATTTGGAAAACAAGTTCTGTCCGGATAGTCCTGGTTACACCAAGGAGGCAGCCTTCAGTGTCCATAGTAACCAGAAGGGCCAAGCTGGGCATTCATTCCCCACCATGTGATTTTTGGAAAAGGATACAGATACTGCCGCCAACGAGGGAAGCATGGGTGGGGAGATGGGGAGGTCCCAGGCCGCACTAAGGCCAACTCCAGCAGGGCTCCCAGGGCAGGGTTGGTTTAAACTCCAACCCTGGAGTTTGTACCCTCTGTGCATATACTTGCACAGAAGCTGGGGCTCTGCAAACACAGGGCA